TGTGGGGGTTAATTTTCCCAACATGATCAACCTTCTTAAACCGAAGGCTTTAAATACCATACTCCAAGTCATGATCTCATGCATTGATCAACTACTCCAATATCAATTGTTATAAACTAAACAGAAGGGTCCAACCTAAAGGAATTACATATTACTACATTCGTTCCAATTTATGTGAACTTATTTCTTTTTTGGTCTGTTCCAAAAAGAATGACCCCTTTCTAAATTTGAAAATAATTTTTCTTAAACTTACAATTTTACCCTCAATGAGAAGCTTTTATAACCACACAAATACTCTTGATACCTTTTTGAATTGTTTAGGACCACAAATTGTAAAAGTCTTCATTTTTTCTTAAACTTTATGCCCAGTCAAACAAATTCATATAAATTGGAACGGAGGAGTAGATGATAGCGTCCATTCAGTCTATAAACCCCTTTTTGGAACCCATTGTAACATTTTCCACTCTATCAAACTATATGTATAGAAGCAATGACAATGTTGTTATACGTTAGAGACTGAACAAAGCTTCATTACCTTTCCCTTGAAAAGTTTTGCAGCATCTTGAAATGTTGGGAACAACTTATCCGTATCATTTGCTGTGGCAAAAAGCAAGACCTGCACAGAACATAGGAGACAGTCAGTACATTAACCATATTCATACAGGAGGAAGATACAATTATAAATGAAGTCATATTTGTTCTAACATAAATCATCTTAAGTTTACCTGCTTCTTAATTGGACTCGCAAAAATTGAAGGGGCGCTTTCTTTAGTAAAAGTTGTCACTATAGGGAGCTTGTTGGCAGAAACAAACTTAGCTATTGCAGATTTTCTGAATTGACCATCTGAAGAGCAAAATGAAAAAGATAAATAAGGATATCTCCATGTTTCCTTTCTTTTTCCACTTCTTCTCTTGAGAGAAAGAACGCAATAAAAATACAGTATGGTTATCAAATTCCTAAAGGATCTCTTATTACCATCCCCAAGAGACAAGATTCAATTCCAGTATTCAAAAACAGAGATGAGAGAAGTAGCTAACCATAATGCGCGACATTCTCTGGTTCCTTTTTAAGCATGACCAGAGCAGGGCGTTTAGCATTGAAGTCTATGTTGAATAGCTTAGCCACGTTAGGATTTGTCGTCTGGTAAAAGTTAACATCATATTCAAGTTTTGAAGCAGCTGCTAGTTGATCAGTCTCGGGACCCTGTAAAACGTTTAGACAATGAACTTATGACAGATCATGTTATAAGAGGGCTAATGACAAAACTGTAAGTTGCAGACGGACCATTGACGGCAATACACAATAAAAGAGGTATACTTGGATGTAATACAAAGAGAAAGAAAACAGAACTACTTTCACTAGAAGGGAAGAATAATGAGCATTATATTGTAGCAATATACAACTAGTACAACAAGAAAAAGAGAAGAATCAACTATCAAGGTTTCAAGTTAGAATCTGCAACTGGTAAAAAGGAGCAAAACATCCCATTTGAACTGAAGCTCATTGTATACTACAATAGGGTAAAGTTATTCCGTCAAGTGCCATCTAACTATCAAAAATCAAATTTCATGAATCCGACATAAAAATATGAGCATTAAAATTCAAGTTTTCTTTAGCGATAGAAAAATATCAAAATTGCAATCCATGCTTATCACCAGGAGAAAGTTTCTCAGTAAAACTATACAATAAGAGCAGGAAATCAATAATCAAGATAGAGTAAGCAAAATATACCACCAAGGAGTCGAGGTACGCTATAACAACTTTGTTCTCAGAGGTTAGTACACGTTTTGCGTCCTCTGTTGTCGTTATATTGTAAATGCCAGGTCCTATTTTCTTCTTTATCCAAGTCACAATTGCATTTCTACAGGTAAAATTCCTCATCAGCTTCACTTCAGTACACAAGTCTGATTGATAAGCCAGAAGCCGCAAAGAAAAAAAGGGGGAGGGGAATTTATCTGCTTCAGACGCTACAAGTTTTAACGATTAGGAACCAATTAAAAGAGTGTAACAGGGTGTATCGAATTTAGGTCATCTCAGACTTTTCGCTTGAAGTAGGATAAGTTATGAGAAGGTTGCAAGAATGAAGAAAAATTTCCACCTTTACAGTTTATTACATCTCCAATATGAGATAATCATTTGATCAGCTAAGCCTCACCCCTAATTGTTGGTTTTAAGCTTCTTAGAGCTTAAAATAAAATGAATGGAATATGGAGGAAAAATAAAATTTTTTGAATTTTTTTTTTGACAAAGGGACATTGTCCCATATTGGAGGAGCAAAAGAGTTTTGATGGGTATATATACAATTGCACTTCTTCTAGCTCTTAAAGAGTTGAGAAGAAGACAACCCTAGCGTCGTTGTTGTTGCTTGAATTTGGATTTGATTGATTAATTTTTTTGACCAAATTTATTTGTTAATATTAACGCAATATTAATTAATCCAAATTAGACCGTTTCTATAACCGTAATTTTAATTTTCCCGTTATAATTTGAATTTGGCGGTTTGCATAAATGGTCGTTTTATAAAACAACCATTTTGAGTTGCAACCTTACATGAAGAGTTGTAACTCTTCAGTATAACCCAACGGTTTTTTTGGCTATAAATACATGAACTCTCCCTCAGATTTTCCTTACCAAAATTCTGATTTCTCCTTCTTCTCTTTTTCTGCACTGTTTTAACAGAAAAGAAGGCAGTAAGTGTGATTTACTATTATTTTTTGCGTTCGTTGTCACTGGGGTTTAAAGTACCGCTACACCAGTGAGGGTAATCCGTTCTATCCTGGGAGGAAATAATCCTAAATTTCGAGTACTAGGAGGGGATTACGTTCCTTAAAGAAACATTGTGAATTCAGTGAGCTCGGAATAATTCTGTTCTTCTACATTTCTGATTTTATATCATTTTTATTTTTGAATATATTTTCGAATACCAATTACTAACACTAATTAGTTATCCAATTCATCTGTATCCATTCTGTTCAATTTGACCCATTTCCACTACACGGTGATGATAACTGAAAGTCTCACAATTGATTGCCCAAGCCAGAAATACACTAGTGATGCCAAGCTTATAATCAGCTAAACATCCATGTAAATATCAAAACTTTTTATTGTCTTCTCTCTTCCATTTATGCAAAAACCGAAATGCCAGAGTAAAGTTTTGAAGTCCCAATTTTGAGTTTTGTTACCTAATTAACAGTTGTATATACAACAACAACAACATACCCAGTAGTCCCACAAGTAAGATCTAGGGAGGATAGAGTGTATGCAGACGTTACCCTACCTTTAAAAAGGAGGCTAATTAACAGTTGTATATATAAAAAAGAATTCGCCTAACACCTGTTTTTATGGAATGCCACATGTTGTCCGATGCATTATGGCTCGGATATTACTTTCTTGTGTTATCAAATACTAAGAATATATGAATATGTATGTACGTGCCTAGTATGTATGTATATAGAAGTACACACATAACTCTTCCAGAGCAAAGAGAGAGTGATGAAGAAGACATACTTGGTTTTTCGGCCATTATAAGGTTCAGGATCACCGTCAACGAAGAAATAAATCGTAGGAAAACCTCGGACATCGTAGTTATCAGCCACCTCATATTCCTTAATGGCATTGACCTTTGCCAACGCCACATTCTCCGTCTTCAGTTCTGTTGCGGCATCCGCATACTCTGGAGCCAGGGCCTTGCAATCGCCATTCCAGGGAGCGTAAAATTCCACCATCACATACTTATTGTCATCCACGAATTCACTGAAATTCCTGTCAGTCAATACTACAACATCCTTGTCATCAATCTTAAGATCCTCATCTTCCTCTGCATGATCAAATGGCGCTGAAGGGAACTCAGTTTCGTCATGATTCTCGAAGTTTGGCTCGGCTGCTTCCTCGTAGTCTTCGAGGAAGCTGAGGAATTCGTCATCGTCATCTGAGGATGTTGGAGTTTTGGCTAGTGATGGGGTGATGAAGAGAGGAAATAGGAGAAGGGATGAGATAGAGAGGAAGATGATCACTCGACTCGCCATTCTTTTTGTTACACCTAATTTTAGCAAGCATGCGACTGAGTTTCGTAACTATGATCCTATGAAAAAGACTTAAGATTCCACGTGTTTACACTATACGTATTTAAAGACGCACCAATTGGGAAATTACATTAAGAATACATATTGAAATACTAATTATTATGATTAAAAATATTTATTTTAAAAATATATTATGTATGCGTCTAATTTTTATACATTGTCTATATAGTCACTTCATTTAAAAAAATATGGTAAGTGACCAACTTCTAAACTTTTATTTACACTATCGGTAAGTATAAGGTATTCATAATATATTTATGAATTGATGCAAATATCAAGTTTAAGTAGAGTTATTTTTAGTTCGGTCTAGGTCTACATTTACCTAGAAAAACGTTATACTAATATGTCATTTTGCCAATATATACATCAAACCAACGCTATCGACTATTTGCAGCGACTCATTTAGTCACCAAAAGTAAGGATTTCGTGCCGACTCTAACAAGAAGGTGATCGTTTTAGAGTCATCACAATGACAATTAGTACTTGCAGCAAGCCTATGGTTAAGTCTCAATATGATGCTGACATGCTTGCTAGTAGTATCTTTTCAGCGACGACAATAGCTAAAGGATTTAACTTGTTATATACATTCGAAGTACATTTTCTTTTAACTATCAGCGAATTATCTGTCTAATTTTCGCTTATCATGTTTTGTAACTTGTCATTACCTTTTAGAAGAATAAAATTTAAATTAATGTTGTATCAGTGATGGGGTGACAAAAAGTCTCTTCATCGTCAAGCCACTCTGACTTTTGAGGTAGTTCTAGAGCGAGTTCAATTGCATCATTGCTTCGGCGGGCTAATTTTGGCTCGACCCATGAGTATCATATGCAAAAATGTATACTCCTATATAGTAGACTAGTTCTGAAGCCACACTTGCTATAATCTTAGATTCACGGTCTGTCGATGATCAGTATCGGTCAAACATTAAGCTGAACAGGATTAGCGTTGCTGGAGTTGCGTTTCCGTGTGATGACCACAAAGAGAATCCCAAAACCCAAAAGAATAGCAAACAGAAAACCAAATGGAATTCCAGTCATGCCACCACCTCCCAGTCGTTTTTCACCACCTTCTGGTGGTGATATGTTTTCATATGCAAGATTTGACTGCATATTTGATGCTGTTATATGAAATTCAGAACACTCAGATTCTGATGATTCACATAAATTTTCATTACTAGTGTTTTGCTGTTGAGTATCAGTGTGGAAAAATGAGTATGCTTCTGGTGAGAATGGAACAGGGCTCTCATAAGCAAGACCAGGAGAAGCTATATTATCTTGAGATTTAATAAGGGATATTGGTAAGCAAAGGAAAGCAAGGAAGAAGAGAGAAGAAGTCATTCGTAATGTCATTCTGTTTCTTAATTTGTTGGTTTTTGTGAAGTGATCAATATGCTAATAGAGCAGTGTAGGTTAGAATGTGTAATGCCTGGACTTGTGAACAGTGCAGTTTTTATAATTAGCTGAAATTAATAATGAATTGATGGTTGCTTGTACTTGAATTTATAGTGGAAAAAGAGGGAGAAATGATACATAAATTATCGATGACAATGCCTTTAGTAAAGTAACTTTTGTTAAATTGTAAAAAAGATGGCACTTTTATTTAATGTTTTGCAAGGTGTAAGGTTTGATATTTTTATTAGGGCAAATACGTTTGAATATTGTTTTGGACAAGCAGACAGAAAGACTTGAATTTATACTGTTACCCCGTTATATTGTGTAAGTACCTCATTTAAAAACTTAAAACTTTCGAGAAAATACTGCAAAAACTACATGTCAAAGTTAGCATAATGCACGGTGGTTAACTAAGAGATGACGAGTAAAAGAAGATGACAAGAAAACATGTCTTTTTTTTTTTCTTCTGATCTGAAAAGGTAAAGGTTTGCTTAGACTATACACAAACTTTTAATTGACCTCCTTCAAGTGATTTTGACTTCCAATCTTTGTCCTTTCCTTGTCCTCTATTCCCTTTGTCAATTGGCAGGTTCTGCTTACTATTTAATATCTCTTATTAATGATGCAATTTCTTCATTGTTACTGATTCTTTGCTGTTAAGATGGAGTTGACACTTGGCAGCGCCAATAGTGAAAGCAAATGAGATTATTATGTAAAGCACATTTATCATCTAGTATCCCTGTTATACAACATAATACAGTTCCTGCCCGGCCCATGTTCTCAAATGCCTCGTTAGTTGTCTTGTTGCTAAGATACAAGATATATTTTCGGATGCGAATCTAGAATTTAAATTTGATAAATTTAAAAATATTTAGTAATAAATACATCGTACGTATTAACTTATATGAGTTAGAAATTTAAAATTTGTTGAAAATTTAGTAATAATTTAGTGCACTGAGTTGCCTTTTTTTATATTTATATGTCATGTAAAAAATACTAAATTAGTTAAATCCATTGAATGTACGCTGCATCCATCTCTGTCTCAGATAATCCAGAGTCCAAACTTCAAATGAGAGTGGGAGAGAAAGGGTATATGATTAGATCGAAAGCACATCAATGGTATATATAGTCGAAATTACAGGAGCATGTGGCGATTATGAAAAGGGGAGGTTATTTGTGGTATAAGCAATAAAGTGATGATTAAATTTCAGAGTTAATTAGCAGCGAATTTTTTTTTTGAGAACAATGATTTCTAATCATTTTGTATACTGATATGATAACTGAATATAGATTTATCAAATTGAGGAGTAACACGTAGAAATCAAATTCATGATTTTGTCTGCTCTCAATTTCTTTCAGGGAGAAAGTTATATTAGGGGTTTGCTTGGCTTAATACACCAGCAAAGCTGGCCTTTAGGCATTAACGTGACAATTTAATGAGACTATTAAATAATTTTTGAAAGTATTTCTGAGCTCCTTGATTAACAGTGAGGATATTTTTGTGCCAAAATAAAATCGATGGCAAAATTGGCCATTTCAAATAGTTCAAGTACAAAATTGACCCTTTATCCTATTAAAAAATAATATGAAAGACCCGAAAAATCTATGAGATGCTAGGAATTCCGTTAAAGTCAGCACCTCTTCAGTAACCATATATATAAGAAAAAAAAATAATAATGTGTATCTGAGTATATATATATAAGGAAAGTGTTTAAATCATAATTACAAGAATCCAAAGTAGAGATATTCATGCAATAGAGACAACCTTGGAATGGAAAAACAATTAATGTCTCAAAATGATAATATAAGAGAATGATAATATTCCAAGACTATACCTTCATCATACATGAATGAACATTTCAAAAACCCAAATGGATTCACTCAAGTTTATGTTTGTCACTCTCTTAATCCTGTTTCTTCTTGTTCCTTCTCAAGCCACCGGTAATTAATCATCTAGTTTTCTCTATTAAAAATGTTTCTTTGTTTTATGGTCTTTTGAGTTTTTACTTAAAACTGAGTTTTCTTTTACATCTGTGTTTTAGGTGATGTGGAAATCAACCAAGATTTTACTTCTGATTGCATTTTCACAAGCAAATGCAAGACCAGATCAGATTGTTATGGTCCGTGTACTGATCTTGGGCCTTTGATTGGGCTGTGCGTTCCAAATCCGGATCCGGCTGGAGGACTAATCTGTTGCTGCATTGATAGTAAAAAGAGAGATCGTATTCCAAATTAAATTCTTTTAGTATTTGTGTAGATTCATTTTATCCAAAATTCTGGTTGATTTGGTTTATCTACGTTTGCTTGTAATATGGTTTTTAAACAGCTGCTGTGATGGAATATTTTTGTGTTGTTCGTTTGAAAGAGAAAAGAAGACTTACATAATTGGATTTTTTTGCATCATCTGTCGTCTGAAAGAATAATACATTTTAGTAATGGAGTCGTAGCCAATTTATTTTTACTGATTTGACTCGAAAAAAAAAAATACAATTAAAATAAATAGAAATTATATCTAACGGAAAAAATAACAGGAAATACACAACTAGTACTTCATTATTTTTGCTAAAAGTTTTCTATTTGGCTAAATTGATGAAGTTCCAACCAAACTTTTAATTTGACCCAAAAAAAAAAGAAGAAATATGCAGTTGGAACAAATCGACATTATATCTATAGAAGAGATTAAAAAGAATAAAAGTTAGAGTAAAGACCACATTGTATGTTAAGATGAAGCAACAAGAAATAGATAGTTGTAGTAAATAAATCATTATATATAACTATATGAAAATAAAAAAGTTAAAAAATAACCTACTTGGAAGCTGATTTTTCGATTTTTCTTCACTCCCACACGTTTAAAAGAGAGTAGCACCCACACTCTTTGCCACACCAGCGTCTAGGGGGTAATGGCTCTCAAAAGGCCAAGTTCAAAGGGGTAAATAAGACCACAAATAATTTAGGAATACAACTAATAGTTCGTACCAAGATTAGGAGAAATTTTAGGTATTCCGCCTATATAAAAATGTACAGTACTATTTTTGGTCAATGTAGTGGTGAATATGTTGTAAAAGAATGAGTAGAAAAGATAATTTCACTAACTTCAAACACGCATATAGGTTTGGTGTAGTTTGGTTTGGTTTCATTTCACTTTTTCTATTCGATTTGGTTTATCTAGTTTGGAACTTCGGCCATATTCAGAGATTTTGATTTGACTTACTTTATAATTTATGACCTTTTAATTTGGTCAAAGACAATGGCCAGTGCTTTAATGCGAAGCAACCAGAGAATTAGGTGATGAGAAAGCAGGGATGATGTTATCGTTTGGTTTGGTCGTTTATTTTATAAAATTTATATGCTATTAATTTTTGGTTATCTTATTTTATACAACTAACATTAGACTTTTTAAAATTGTTTCAATTATCTGAGTTTTCTTTGGTATCAGTATGATTCATTTAGTTTTTCATATTTGTTTAAAACGTTATGTAAAAGTCGCTAATAGATGTTAGAACAGGATAACATGCATACTTAATATTAATTCTACAGCACCGTAAAATAGATTAAGCAAAGACAAGAGAAATATAAATCACACGAGTGAAAAAATATTAATCTAGTCGGGATTCAAAAATAGAATCAATTAGAAAATTAAGTATCCAACAAGAGAAATTTAAATCATATGGGTTGCTAATCAAGATGTATGAACTAATTTAATTTCAATAGGAATAACAAAATAGGTTTCGGAGTTGGAATTTTGGTGTTAATTACATGTTGGCTTGTAGCCATTTTCATAATCCTAAGGTTTAATGCTTTTTATTTTTAAAATTAATATATAAAATATCTATTTTAATGTAAATCTATTCGGTACGATTATGTATTTTTTGGTTTTTTTTTATAAAATTAAAAACTTGTCCTAATTATTTGATATGGTTACAAATTCATATAATTTTATATAAAAATTTACGATTTTATTAAAACAAATTAAATAATCAATTCAGTACGATACGCTTCGTTCAATTTGGTCAGTTTTTAAAAAATCATTCACACCCGTAGATGATTAAGATTGAGTAAAGATTAACTTACGTCATGTGTTTATGCTAAATTAAATAATATTTTATTTAATCATAATTAAATAATAAATATGTGTATGAAAATACATATTCAAACAGTGAAAACGTAATTTTTGTATTACTCCTACAAAATTCACAAAAAAATAGTTTTTTTTTAGTTGTCTTTGATTTTATAGAATTTCTAGGAATTTCTCTTTATGTGTTTGTTTGCATTTATTTGCGTTTTTGGTACATATTTAATAATTTTAAAATCACAAAAAGCCATAAAAATATTTAAATATTTATTTCATACCATTTTAGGTTTTAATTATATTTTTAGGATTTTATTATATATTAATTGCATAATTAATACATGAAAATCACAACAAAAAAATACATTAGTCACTTTACATGCATTTTTAGTTAAATAATTGGTTAAATGATAGTTACTAGGCTAATTTTGCAAAAAATAGGTTTAATTTGGAATATTTAGTGAAGTGGTTAGCTTTGGAAAATATAATAAAAGAAGAAGGAGAAAAGAGAAGGGCTGTTGGGTTCAAATCGGATTTGGGCTAGCACAGGAGCCCAATCTATTGCCAAATCCGCTCAGCTTCGCCCCATTACCCGGTCCAGTTCCCTCTAAAAAAATAAAACAACGCCGTTTCAGGCATTTTAATCCTGGCCCTTCATCATTTTTCATCCAACGGCTGGGAGCTCCCCATCCCAACCCCTTGAAGCTGTCCTAACCCGACCCACAAACCCTAAGAGATGCCCATTCCCTCATCTATCTCAAATTCCTCTCAACCCTAGCCGCCTCTCACTACCAAAATCCATTCCCACCGGCGGCACCACCACCAAAACACCCTAAATCTTCACCCTACAATCCCCAACCTCCCCTCATCAGTAGTC